GGAACCCGATTTGGAAATCGATTCTCTCTATACGAAATACACCATCTAATAGAGAATTGAATTCTCTATCTAATGGTGTATTTGTTACTGTTTTGCGATGAAGGGTAAATTGGGTGGGTGTGGGTGTGAGGGTGCGGGTGTGTGACTGGCGGGTGTGGGTTGGTGTGGGTGTGGGCATGGGTGTGTGGGTATGGGTGGTTGTGGATGTCATACCTTTACTCACACGCACATGCACACCCACACCCACTCCCACACCCTTGAACGATATATCTAGATAGGATTTTTGGGTACACGTTTTGCGATGAAATCAGATAGTTGTGTTATTCAACGTTTGATTGAACATGGGTTCGAAGTGATTTTTCCGAATGATGAAGAGATAGTGCAATTAAATGATATTATCATGAAGGAATTAACATTCAATATATTCACTGAAGAATCGAAACAAATCTATTTAAAAGTAATTCAACGTTTGAAGGATGAACACAACGTCGAAGGCATTGTTCTTGGTTGTACCGGTGAGAATTTCAATGTAATCGATTAAAATTGAATATGTATCTATTGGTTTTTTTTTTATTCTCATAGAAATACCCTTGCTTGTCAAACAGAGTGACATACCACATGTTCCTCTCTTTGATTAGACACAACTTCATGTAAGAATAAGAAGAATTCTTTTCATTTATCTCGTATTATATTATAACTTAGGCACAACTAGCAGTGGACTATCAACTTAGACGACAAAATATCGAAGGATTTTTACCATGAAATAATTCTATTAATTGAAGAAGAAACATTGTCTATGAACTTTTGAATTGCGTCTAGAGATATATTTTGATTTCTTAAAAAAAAAAACTTTCCTTATTAAACAAAATAACAAATAGCATCACCAGAACAATAAATACAAATAATTTATGTGATTTCGAAGAATTTATCAAAGTGATACATGAAAAAAAACTAACACTTTATCATAAATATCAGTAATTCTAGAAAATTTTCCAGTATATGATTTGCTGATCATATACGAAAAAAGCACGCTTCTGACAATAAAAGGTTGCCAACTAGTAGTTAAGAAACTTCACTCACACCCACACTCAAAAATATCTTATTAGTCAACAGTTCCCGATAGTGCAAAATTGGACTGATCAGATGGCAATGCATCATATACCAGAGACAAGAGCATGAAAATTGAGTAATAATAGAAATTTTATACATAAAATTTGAATCAACCGAAGCCTTATGAAGTTGAATGATTTCGTCGCGTATATATCTTGCCCATTATGTTTTTTTTTGAAATTTTGGTAACAAAGATTTACTACGGTAATAAACAATGACTCATATAACCTATTTAAATGTTAATAGCCCACTAAAAAGTCCTTCAATATTTTCTTCCGTTTTTCTGTCGTTAAAATGTGACAACTGTTCATCTAGTAAATTTTCATCGATTTATGAATTAATGACTTAAAAATGGATTTTTACGATTCAGTCGATTCCTATTGTCGTTGTACGATCTTTCTTCGGAATAATTTATACAGAAGCTTCCACTATACTATACTTACGTAGCATTAGATTAGGGGCGACTATAAGATTTCTAAATATGAAAAATCACAGGTCTCAAGTTCGAATATCAAGAACAGCACTTATCTTCGATAAAAATGATTAAAAGGAAGAATGAATTGAAATCGATTAACGGATAGATAGGTAAGAATGGGCAAAATGGGAAGATAAAGTAAAAACCAAAAACGATCTACACGTGTAAAGAAATTGGAAAGCGTCAAATTTTAAACACAATAACGAGCATAATTTATTTTAAAAAATTTAATCCATTTTAATTATCATCGTAATTGAAAATCGGATTGTGATAGTGTCATTATAATTAATTGTTAATCAAAATCGATTAAAATCTGATTTTTTAAAAATATTATTTGAAGCGATAATAGGCAGCACTTGACATTGAATTTGAAATATACAAGCAGAATAATTTATCTCCGTACTAACAAATTATTTCATATTATACAGAAGAATAATAAATTGTGCAATTTTAATAGAACTATTTGCATAATGCTACTCTATATAAAGATAATATAGCCTCATGTAGAATGGATTTACATTAGTTCTGGAAAAGTTGACAACAATCTATAGATTGTGTCAAAGAAAATAAAGGGTGTGTGTGTGTGGGTCATGTATTTAGAATAGAGTATTTTCCACACTCACATGCACTGATGGGTCTAGGACAGGTGGTCGCACGGACAGTTGCGTGCGGACATTTGGTCGCTAGGACACTTGGTCACTAGAACAACTACTCGCTTGAACATTTGCTCGCTAGGACACTTGCTCGCGAAGTAGGCTGTTACAAAAATTTTGAATAGAATGACGAAATACAATGACGGAGTAAATCAACTTCTAATGCGAGAATAATCATCATCGTAAACTAACTGATTTAATTGTTACACGATTCCTCAAATTGATGATTCTAATATAATGACAATTTGTAGTGAATGCAGTACGAGTATATATGTCGTAGAAAGAAATAGAATGACATTACAAACAACAATAATGTCAGTTTCTCTATCAAAAACATCTAAAAACGCACCATTATTAATACACAATGGTTATTCAAATACAATTGATCGGAAAAGTGAGACAAAAATTCTTTGGAAGCGTGAATATTCTAGAAAATATGCTTGTCACGGTCGATTGCATACAAAATCTATATTTTTGTTCTCTTATGTATTGTTCAAAATTGTGCGATATTTCTTGTTAGATTTCTTCTTTATTATTGTTAAAATTTTGCTACATTATTCTCTGTTTAATCTTTCATCACATCACAAATGATGTTCATTTTTTTTT